TGAGAATTTGTTCAGAATTATTTAATACCGTATTTTCTAATGTTGATAAAAATAAGAAAATGCAGTACTAAAAAGTTGATAAAAAATTCTGAAAAAATTCTCAAAACTTTATAAAAAAATGGAATAATTCCGTTAACATGCATCATATCAAATAGCCGTGTGAAGCATTCAACATCTGACATTTTTCTACGAATTTAAAAAAAATAATTACCCTCCGACTATTAGGAGCCGAGATAACAATTTTTTTCCAAAAATTATTGTGGCTCTAATTTTTAAGATTAATAGTTCCATCTGGTACCAATTTGTCAAGGAAGAATTAAATTTGCTGTTAAAAAATTCTCGAATTTTTTGCTGCCGAAAAGTTTGATTAAAATCATTGGAAAGTTGAAGAACGCGAGCAAGGCAGTGCGCCGGGCGGAGTGAGGGAAGCCGGCGCCAAGTTGAGTGGGGAAGATCGGGCCGCTCGGCGATTCGCGCGTATCTGATTTTGTGTGTTAAAATTTGCTAAATTTACATTTTCTCAGCAATTAATAGAAACATGATTTCTTTTATCTGGGGTAGCTCGACGAGGTATAAACAACTAGCTTTACCAAATGTTTGCAAAATTATTGTAACCATGAAATTTGTAGTTTTTTGTTTCTTGAATTTTTATTTTTTCGGTTTATTACTATAAAACACGTTTGAGAATGTAGTGCATATCTGATTAACAAATTTAAGTCATATTAGCTATGTTTCTTTATTTAATATGCTGTAAAGTGTCCAATTGGACAATTAAATACATGGAATTATCAGTACAAAATTATATTTGTGAATTTAATTCCAGATGCAAATATTGCATATGTAAACAAATAATTAATAAGTAATTTATCAAATGTTAGCGCAACTATTGAAGATATAACACTAACTTTTGCAAATATCAAAGTAAATTAGTGTTACATGAAAAATATATTTTGCAACTATCTTCAACATTTGACAAATTACTTATTATTTGTTTACATATGCAATATTTGCATCTGGAATTAAATTCACAAATATAATTTCATACTGATAATTCCATACATTTAATTGTCCAATTGGACACTTTTTACAGCATATTAAATAAAGAAACATAGCTAATATGACTTAAATTTGTTAATCAGACATGCACTCCATTCTCAAACGTGTTTTATAGTAATAAACCGAAAAAATAAAAATTCAAGGAACAAAAAATTTCATGGTTACAATTACTTTGCAAACATTTGGTTAAGCTATTTGTTTATATCTTGTCGAGCTATCCCAGATAAAAACAAATCATGTTTCAACGTCAATTTATTGCTGAGAAAATGTAAATTTAGCAAATTTTAACGCACAAAATCACATACGCACGAATCGCTGAGTGGCCCGATCTTCCTCACTCGATTACGCGCCGGCTTCTCTCACTCCGCCCAGCACACTGCCTCGCTCGCGTTCTTCAACTTTCCAATGGTTTTAAACAAACTTTTTCGGCAGCAAAAAATTCGAGAATTTTTTAACAACAAATTGGGTTTAACAGTATTTTTTTTATTGTTTTAAATAATAATTTAAGCTATTTGTGTTCTTAAAAAAATATATAAAAAATTATGTTATGCATATTTATTATTTTAATAACGAAATAAAAATTGTCGCATTTGAATCGGACTTTTTCGCTCGAAAATGTTGTATGACGTCATTAGTCATCAGTAGTTAACCAATCCCATCGCCGCATCCGCTATCATATTTGCTTATTTACGTCGTGTTTAAACTTAAAATTGCTGTCAGCCGTACTGTTCGAATTTACAACACAAGATGTCTAATGAAAAATGATACGGAAAGAAGCGTTATAAATCTTGTTTTTTCCGCGAGTGTGGAAATACGACAATTAATGCACCTACAAAGATTTTCGTACCGGTGCCAAAAGGCGAAGCGGGAAAATAGTGAATAGAAATTATAAGAGGCGATGAGCGAGAATATTCACAACAATCAGCCCATTGCAGAGTCGCCATAATTTACTCGTTCTGATCTACAATAAAGAACAAGAGCTACTAAAAATTTTTGTAGGTTAGGTTTCAAGGGTTACATTCTGAACATTTTGAGTAAATACTGTACATACAATTATTATTATTATAAATAAATTAAAACTTAAATAAATTTAGGCAAATTACTATTATACTGTTCTCGTATTTGAACATTATTAACAAACATTAACTATTTTACCTTTTTATTTTAGCTCCACTTGATTCGGCTATATTGTAGCGTTCATTATAATCATTATTTATAAAATAATCAACCATCATTTCCGTTGAAACTTTAGGAAGATTATCTGATTGCGCCTTCACAAAATCACTGTCACACATTTCTTGTTTTTTTTAATAATAATTACAAAATTATCAGAACAACGCGTCTTATATTCGATTGCTGTTGACTATCCGCCGAAATAGCTAATAATGACGTCACGGCCAATCACGCGCGATTACTGGATTCATAATGTTGACTATATATATAACGATATTTAAATAAAATTTATGGCAAAATAAACTTAAACGATAATATTTTAATGTTATTTATAGCATTTTATAAGTCTAAAGAATATATATTAGGAAAAATTTTCAGAATATTTTATTTATTTCTGATAAAGCGAATTCAATTCTTCCTTAACAAATTGGTGCCAGATGGAACTCTTAATCTTAAAAATTAGAGCCACAATAATTTTTTGAAGAAAAATTATTATCTCAGCTCCTAATAATCGGGGTAATCGTTTTTTAAAATTCGTAGATAAATGTCACATGTCGAATGCTTCACACGGCTATTTGATATGATGCATATTAACGGAATTATTCTATTTTTTTATACGGAAAAGATACCCGCTTCTTAAAGTTGTTTTATAATAGTTTAACTGCAAAAAATCGTTTTGTTATTAAGTGTATGTGATATATATATATATATATATATATATATAATGGCTTTTTGCAAAAACTAATGAACATTTCAGGCTTGTTCAGGGCTAGATTTGTTCGTCATTACGAGAACTACATTTTACGAGAATTTCGAAGCTTTGCGTTTATATCTCAATGAACAAAGAGCGAGTGGAAAAAAGGCCTTTTTCAGTGTATTTTATTTTTTTTCTACTGAACTAATAGATCAATTTTAATGTTCCACGTTTCATTTTGTCGGTATTTCGAATACCTACATTTTTTATACATATTCCATATAATTAATATCTTTCGTTTTATAAGCGAAAAACGTGCTTTTTGCAAATATTTGTAAGGGGAATTGTTCTTGTTGTCAGAATGTATTAATTAACGATCTTGTGCTCGTGGTTTTTTTCAAAAAAGGAACTATATTTCAAGGAGGCCAACAACTGTACGCCAATATGGCTCGGCTCGGACTGACTGCCCTCGGGTTTTGCACAAAAACAAAAAATAACTGACAGAGCTGAGCCCATTACGCAAGAAGTCCTTAATCAAATAAAGATTCTATACTTAAAATAATTCTTACTTGCTAACATCTCTTTATAATATTACAACTCGGCCTTTTCTGACCTTACTCCAACTTCAGAGTTGTTGACTCCGGCTCAGGGTCGCATGTTAGCGGCCTCCCATGTACCTTCATAAGGCTTTTGAGTCATTTGATGACCGCTTACATCTGCTACTACGTATCTATCGTTACCCAACACTCTCCTAACTT